ATGTAATTTTATTGGTATCTATCTACCATTAGCTGCCTCATTTCCCACCCTCGGCTTATATTCGGGTCAATACTTTTTCCCAGTTTTTTGTGGTAAAATTAGGTACCTCGGCTTATATTCGGGACGGCTTATACTCGAGTATATACGGTACTATGTCCACTGTATATGTTGAATTGTTAAGTCTGACAAACAGAAGTACATTTCAGGCCACTGTGCCCCTCATTATAGATGGGTAATTCTAATCAAAACCATTGTGTCATGTTCCTGAACTGTCACATTTGCATCAACTTATCAATACCAGTATCGGTGCCGTATTTGCCCAAATGCTCCGATACTGGAACTTCCGGTCAGAGGGAAATCAGCTAATCAGCATGGAGCCGGCCAAACAGCATGGAGCTGGCTTCCTGGCCAATCAGGAAGCCAGGCGCAGGTAATGATCTGCCTCACGGCTTCCTGATTGGCCGGGAAGCTGGATCCATGCTAGAAGCCAGGCGCGGGTAATGATCTGCCTCACGGCTTCCTGATTGGCCGGGAAGCTGGCTCCATGCTGATTGGCTGGGAAGCCAGTTCCCAGCCAATCAGCATGGGGCCGGCTAAACAACATGGAGCTGGCTTCCCGGCCAATCAGGGAGCTAGGCGGCAAGTAAACACTTCCTGGTCAATCAGCATCGAGCCAGCCGGCTCGATGCTCAATGGCTGGGAAGACGGTTTTCATGGCTAATCAGCATAGAGTCAGCCGAACAGCATGAAGCCGGCTTCCTGGGCAATCAAAAAGCCAGGGGGCGGGTAATGACACACCACCCGGCTTCCTGATTGCCCGGCAAGCTAGCTTAATGCTAGCAGAAGTACCAGTTATCGGTGAGTACCGAAAGATAAATATCGGTACTCGATACAAAAAAAACGGTATCGGTGCATCCCTAGACCTTACCCTTTTATTATTTATATATTACATTTATTTTACTTATGCTTTCTGTTGCTATGTGTTTCCCGTACTCCATTTTTGCTGCCCTGATTGCACTTTTTGTTGCATTCCTTGTAGTATTTGATTGTTGATGTTGGCCCCTCTTGTCTTCTATTTTTTGAAGGCCCTTTCCTTCTCATTTATTTATGTCTTTACTTTGCTACTTAACCACCCCGGTTTTACTTTTGTTGTTTTGAATTTGTTGGTAAACAGAATGCTCTGGCGAATGCTGTTATTTAAAATTTCCTTGAGACATCCCCACGGTCTCAAGGAAATGTTCCCATTGTCCTCCTGGTGTGTATTTTTAGGAAGATTCCCTTTCTTTTATTGTCCTGGTGACAACTCAAAATTTTGGATATCACGTTAATTTCAATCCTGAGAATGATCACCAGGACACTAAAAGGGTGAATCTCCTTACTGCAGACACACACAGCAGCAAACACCTAATATGTATTCTAACCCTTCCCTGCTCTATCCAAAACATAAAGCTGAACTATGGGATAAGCAGATATCAATATAATACGAAGAAGCATGTGTGCTCTTATTTGAATCTTGGTGACCATTGTCTATTTATTCCAGATCTGTGCAGCAATCCAGCATAAAACTTTGTCTCTGTGCAGGAGATTCCTGTAATAAAGACCAGTCATTGCTGCTCTCTATACTTGTGCAGGGTGACTGGTCTTCTATCCACCCCCTACTGTGGTTTTCTACAGGCAGCCTGTAGTGGGTGGAGCCTGATGGGTCCCTGCCACAGCTTTGCTCTCTGCACAAGTTATGTACAGCACAGTGACAATCTCACTGCTACTTTTACAGTTAATATCTGGGTTTGAAAAGGCATTTGGTGCACACAAATATATTTATACAGCCACATAAAAGTGTAGAGCTACTCAGAGAATCCAGTCAAATACCAACTTCCAAGATAAAAATCTTACTGCCTGTACTCTTCATGGTTATAAATATCTCATATTATACTACATCTGAATATATGTTACATATTCTCCCATATGTTATACCTGGGTATATTTTGTCAGCCTTGACATCTAGTAGCCTTTCTAAAGACTTCATGTAATCATACAGCTCCTCAAACACGGCTGTTCCTTCTCCGAGAATACAGTCCCCGCTGAAGATTGCGTTTTCTTCCATTAATACCAGCGCCATGTGATCATCTGTATGTCCCGGTGTATATAGGACTCTGCAGGAATAGAAAATCAACTCATATAAGATGATTAAATAAATGTAGTGAAATAAGGAGATTTCATACCACAATAGCTGTCCTCTCATCTCTTAATGGGCCTGACGTCAAGAAACATGATTCTGATCGGATGCCGTGGGTTCCTGCATCTATTAATTACAGGCATTTATATAGCGCAGCACTTTACATACTGTACATTCCCACTAGTGCCTACCATCAAGAAGTTTACAATCTAAGGTCTCTATCTCGCATACATACTAAAGCCAATTTAGACCGGAGCCAATTAAGCTACCAGCATATCTTTGCAGTGTGGGAGGACATCGGAGGAAACCCATCCGAGCACATAATTGCGCTTTGCTTGGCAGCACTGAGTAGGCATCATTATAAATGTCTGAAATTGAGTTACTGTAACAAGCCATTTCATTAAAAAGTATCTTCATGTGTAGTAACAGCTTATTCTTTTCTTTTTCTCACACACACTTTATCTTGAAGGCTAAGACTCCTGAACTTTGCCTGAACTTTACTGGACCTATGTGTGCTCCTTAGGGAAAAGCAGAAGCTTTGTTTTTATATACCTATCCCCAACAGCAAATACTTCCCTTCACTCCCCTGAGGCTCCATTCAGTGCTGTCAGGTGAAGGAAATGCTTGGTACATATGAATTTTCATATGAATGTTCATATTAGAAATCTCATTAGAACTTCCAGTAATGCCATCAGAGACTTGTAGAATGTTGTTTGTTTTAACATTCAATTCTGGAAATGAATGGAGTTTCTGAACAAAAACCACATTCGCTGTTACAATGTCATTCATTCAAGCAAAATTTTCAGCCCTAAGATTTTTTTTTTCTCTCACTATGGTCGAAAACGATAATCGATTAGACTCCATTCACTATTAGAAAATTGAACAAATGTTACAAAAATAAATTTTATTTTCAATTGTATCATAATGTGCGATACTAATGACATCTTCTGGTTCTCACTTCATTAATGGGTGATATCCATGTACTTTCTGACAATTTGAATAAGTTCAAATACCACAGCCACAGTTTGTCTTTGTCATTCCCCTGTCCATTTGTCTTCCTTCCCTCTTGTTCCCATCCTTGATGTTTTCCTTGTGTTTTTGGGCATGAGTGATCTTATATATGCCTTTTTTTGTATAATTTTTCAATAATCTTTGATTCTCTTTATGGGATTTTTGTTCTGTTTATTTGTTGTTACTTGAAAAATGTAACAAAGCTGAAATAAACAAAAAATTATTTTTTTTTAAAATGAAATTCTACTGGTATATGGTCTTCGACTGTAAGCTCGTATGAGCAGGGTCCTCCTCGCCTACTGTTTCTTTATGTCAATGATGCTAGTCAGTGTTCCTTACTTGTCTTGTCTAAACAATTATACATCGCTGCAGAATATGTTGGTGCTATACAAATAAATAATTGTAATGGTTGTTGTATAGCCAGCAAAAAACATTGCTGGGAGGTGGTATTTCTGGCAGAAGAGACATGCAAAGTTCTCGCTCCTTCCCCCGATCATTTGTACTTTTTATGTTTACACTGTATGGCATATGTGTTATGCGGTGTGCTGGAAGGATGCAAGGCCCGTGTACATGCGCAGCAGTTACATCATCGATGGCCACCCAATGGCTGAAGAGTAGAGATGAGCCTGGGTTTGGTGCGAAATTCAGTTCACCCAAGCCCACTCAAAACTCTGACCACCACCCCCTATTCCCGACCCAATCAACTGACTCTGCATTCCCTGCTGCCATACATCATAAAGGTGCCCATACACCTTACGATTATCGTACGATAATCGTATGCGATCGACTTTTCGTACGACAATCGTAACGTGTGAATAGAGTGCCCGACCGATAGTAATGTACAATCGTACGACTTTTGACGGTCAAGCATGTTTGAAAACTTTGGTTGATCGTACGATGTTCGCATGGTTGGTGGCGTTTCCGTCCGTCAAATGTCGTACGATTAACACTGCGCATGCGCAAACGAAAATAATTGCGGTCAATTACCGCAAGTCATCCAGGTGTTTTTTTCTAACTACCGCTGATTGAACCTTGCGATAATCGGGGCAGGATGGGGCCGTCGTACGAAAATCGTACGACGGTTCGATCATCGGACGAAAAGTTTAGTCCGATAATCGTAAGGTGTATGGGCACCTTAAAGGTGTTGTGAGTCACCTGCACTCCACACATCGTTATGACTTGCAGATTGGTGGTGCTTGTGGTGATGACATGGATGATGCTCTGCAAAATTCCAAGTGAAGATCAGCTAATCACCAGCACACATGTAATGGTACCATAAGTTCTGTCTCAAATGTTATTACATCATGGTTTGTCATATACGATCGATGTTTCAGGGCCATGCAGGGTCCCTTCCTCATGGCGACATAGTGATAATTCAACAATCAGTAACACACACACACACACACACACACACACACACACACACACACACACACACACACACACACATATATTGTGGTGAGTCTACCTTGCTGAGGGCTAAAAAGGGGTTAATTTGGGAGGGCAGATACTTCCCCTACAGCCCTTCATGTTAAAAAGGGAAGTCAGGTGAAGGACAGACAGAAAAGTCTCTGTGTGTGGCTGCTCAGATGCCTGTGGAGTTGATCTAGGTGATACCACCAAAACACACTACGCTGTGCAGGACAATTGAAATACTTTTTGCTTTATGTTTGCTGAGGAAAGCCTTTTACTTTGCCGTTTTGCTGAAGAAAGCTGTACAAAAGAAAAGTTCAGAGAGAAAATGATAAAGCACATACACAATGATAGTCAACGCCATACAATGTGAATATTTAAGGCTATATACATTTATGAATTCATACATTAGAGTGTGCTGTTGGTATAGAGGGAGGGGCGCCCACCCAGTGTACCGGGATCATGGCGTCCCTCGTTACTACAGGGAGGTGCCGGGCACATCAGCGTTTGCTGTCGCCATAACAAGGGGATCTACACACACACCGTCACAAGGGGCGGGGAATGCCCCCACCGTAACAGATTCGGCTGGGATAGGATGAGGGGGGTGGTGATCAGAATTTTGAGCGGGCTTGGGTACACTGAGTTCACTCCAAGCCCAGCATCATCACAACTGAAGAGGGTTTAAACGGAACCTGGAAGTAGCGGCAACAAAGAAGGCGGTGGTGGGGCACTGAAAATGGATCCGACAGCGCTGAAGAAGGGCGCACTTGTAAAGTAAGTCTGCCATAATGTGGATGTGTGCTGTGCATGCTTCAGACATGTCTAATGTCATTCCGGCAAAACACATTTCTGACAATGTTTTCATTGCTGTTGGTGCCCAGCTGTGCCAGAGATTACCTATGAAGAAGACATGTCCACCCTGTGTCTTGTTCTCGGCATGGTAAACAGATAATACTTATCTTGTAAATGTCAGTGCACTTACTTCAGCGTGGCTCCCTCCGTGGTTATCATATCTCCATCTTTTAGATATTTGTACTTTTGCTCTCCAGTGCCGATGACCTCTTCTATGTGTGGATTCCTCGGAAGTTTACTGACGCAGGGACCAGACTCTATGACAAGAACAACTATTATTACTTCCTGAAAGTGACTCCTTGTAAAGAACAACTAAGAGATATACTGTATAATAGGAGTAGGTAAAGTCCCATCATGCATCTGCGTCTTGGAGTCATACCTGTGGCTGTCAGAGTCTTGCAATGCCTACTGGGATTTGTAGTTGCACCACAGCTGGGAGGGCCTACTCCTGCTGTATAAGCAACTACTAGTACTGTACTACAGGCTGGGCACACACCTTACAACCATCGCAAGACTTTTGTCTTGCGATGGTTGTAAGGTACTTAAAAAAACGTACGATCTGCCTATCTTGCATAGGCAGATCGTACTTGCGATGATCGCAAGCCACGCCCCCTGAGGGGCGGGCTTCCGATGACCGCAATGCCGAACGGGCAGTGTGCGCTTGCGCACACCGGCCCGTACGGCTGTTATCGTACGGACATGCCACAAACACGCCGAATGTCGTACGATGCTCGGCGGGTTTTCGAACATGTCCGTAAGTTAAAAGTCGTGCGACCTTACAGTAGTAGAGGTCGCACGGCTTCCACACACCTTACGATAATCGTACGATCGCAGGATTTCCCGCGATTATCGTACGATTATCGTAAGGTGTGTGGGGACCTTAAGACAGCAGTCAGACCTCCAGGAACCACCAAGATTGCTGTATTGCATGGATGGGACATTTACAGTCTTTGGCAGTATTAGCAAACCATAGATTGGGATACAATGGTCATTTGAACATTAAAGTATAACTTTTAGTTTTGGATAGAGAGGAATGAGAACATATGTGTCTCCGTTAGGGAGATTCACTCTACCTATGTGACCATTATCACTGAAAGTGAAAGAAAATCCCACATTTTATTGTTGTCATCAGATCAGTAATAGATGGGAAATCTTCCAATGGGGACACACATTTTCGTCACCCTGCTGACTGTCAGGGATTTCCCTCTCTTTGGAGGGATTTCTTCTCACTTCCTGTTGTGGCTATTGGACAGGAAGTGAAGGAAAATCTCCCTAATGGGACATAGATGGCAAAAAACAAAAAAGCTGACGGAGGTTATAACCCTCCCTTACTCTATGCTAAAAAAATTGCTTTCAGCTCTACTTTAAATTACAAACTAGTTTGTGTAGAAGTTACTATATTATTTTTTAGTAAAAGTGGAATTTTCCTTGAAGTACCACTTAGATTACCAAGGGTGTCAAGCCCTAAAGCTGACCTCCACATAAACAGCTACATAAGGGAGCTGTTTACTTGCCAACTGATTCATTTTTGTATCCACAGCCCTGTTTGGCAGTGCAGGACACATGATTTTTCTGCAAACATGTCCTCCCCCCCCCACCTGTGACTGGGCACTGAAAGAAGAAGCGGCACACTGATTAGCTTATCCCTCTGCCACCCTGCTCTTTCCTCCTATCAGTATGCTCCGTGCACGGCAGCCCAGCTGATTGCGTTGTGACTTTTTCTTCCAGTCTGAGCCCTGCTGTATGGTGACTGCAAGAGTCTGATGCCAGGTCAAAAATCACACTGCCCCCTCACCTCCTGTTCTGGTGACCATTCAAAGTTCTGAACTTTTCCATCACCCTCATTTACAGACACATACAGCAATAGGAACCAGCCTGCGGTTCTACCCCCTCACCATTAAAACATTTTGAACTTTAGATACCTAATATGTGCTTTATTTACAGTGTAAGGACTTTGTACGTACCACTGAGGATATCTCTGCATATATCGGTTATACCTCCGGAGTGGTCATGGTGCCAGTGAGTCACTATTATTTCCTGGATTGCTGTGCTGGATTTATGAAGTACTTGCTTCAAATTGCTGATATATTCTGGGACAGAAGGCTCTCCGGTATCTATAAGGATTCTCCTACACAAACAAAGAGATAGACGTTATGGGGAGGTATCACCTGTCACTACCCCCGGGGGCTACCCCTACACTGCACGGGTAAAGTGATCCTTGATTCCTCCACCTCCTTCCAGGCTACTAGACTGGACCCTGCAGCCTTTTCTCCCCTTTGCTCCGGCGGGATAAGGGCCACTGACATCATCATTAGGCATGCACCGAAACATATCGATCAACAATGGTACCTTGGGCAAGATGCCGAAAGTAAATTTTTTTGGTCGAAATTGCAGTAAATCTATCATTTCTCTCCTCCTCGCTGGATGCTGCTCTGTGTCTCCACTGACAGAGAGCAGCGTCCAGGGGAAAAACAGAAACGGGTCGGGGAGGAGAGCGCTGTCACAAGAGGCCGGGCTCTACCCCCGCACTGCCCCACAGCGAGTCAGGAAGGAGAGCGGAGTACCAGCGCTCAGGACTGATCGCTGAGTGTTTGTAAATAATTGAGGACATAGTATGTTTACCGTGTCCCCAATTATGAATGAACCAGAAGTGCTCTATATCACTTCCTGTCCATTCGTGAATGAGAATATAGAAATTCATACTATATCCACAATTTATGAATGGACAGGAGTATAGAGGCTTCCTGTTCATTCATAACAGGGGCTGCAGAAAATGAGATTTAGGACTCCTATTGCAATTTGAAATGGCCAATAGCAGGCTGGCTATTGCACCAAGCTGGATGGTTAGCTGCATCGATTTTGTGAGTGACCAGAACAGCCAGACCTGGATGCAAACCATCTGCGTCTAGGGCCGGTCAGAAGCCATATTCACATGTAACCGCTTGTAAAAGCAGTCGCATGAAAACAGCATGAGCGCTGGCCTTTGGCTTGTGCAGGGTACACATCAGGTTGCAGCTGTTTGTACACAAGGTGTGCATGGGGCAAGATTGCAGATTCTCATCTCGGCCTGTATGAATGAGCCCTTATCATTTTCAGAGGGGAGCTCTTAGCAACTCCGGACTACATTTACACCAGCCCGTACACTAAAACACTCTGCACACTCCAGCTACAGACAGCTGTCCCGCCCATGCTGGTACCTGTAGTTCCACACATACACAAGAGATATCTGTGGTCACAGCTCCATGTCCTGTATATCCTGGATTCCTACACTGTCATGTATTACGGAGTACGGCCGCTAGGGGCGTACAACCGACCAAAACAACCCGCACAAATCTATGTTTACCTCCGCCCGGTGCCAACCAAGTAGGTGTTAGTGCCTTGCAGTGTCATGGGGCCCGGGTTACACCCCAACACACGGATCACCCGGGAGGATAACTGCTCCACACGGGGCAGAGAAGACAACGCCATATTACGCGCACTGACAGTCCTACACTGCAGACCAATGGCCTCTCAGAGCGCTAGGTGGGCTGGGTCTCCAACATACTAGACACACGCGCAGTCCTTGACTGCGGGCCAATGGCGCTTCTCAGCGCATGGGGGCGGGGACTCCAGAGTTCTGGCCACACCGACAGTTCTGGATTACTGACCAATAGTAGCTCACATAGCTTGGGGCGGGGTCTCTAGCATACTAAACCTTTGACAGCCATGAACTACTGACCAATGGTGGCTCAGGACGGATTGGCGGGGGTCATCAGCGGGCAGAAGCCTAACCCTGTCACTACCGGGGAATCATTTGCTACAAGTAGCCTGTCGTTGGCTGGCTGCAGCGTGCCATTGCGCTGTGATTACATATGTCACTGGGTATAATGTTTATGTTGGATGTATGTGTGTGGATATATTTCATAGAGGGGGCATTAGATGTGGATAAAACAAGTCCTCCTCTCTGGATTGGACTAAACGGATATTCATGAAGGAGCATTACTGAGGAATGATCGGATGTACCTGACAGAGGAGTGCATGTTATTATTCTTTTTATAATTTGTGCTCATGCTGTTATTTATTATTGTTATTATTATTATACAGGTAAAGTCCAGTTTTTGCAATACATGAATGATAATAGAAAAAATTTGGATGGCGGGTGCAATGCATTGGCTCCTGCAGACTCTTCCTCCCAGCTCGTGTTTGTACTAGGGATGCACCGATACCGATACAGATGCTGAGTATTTGGGCGAGTACACATACTCGCTCAAATGCTCCGATGCCTAGCCCCATACCTGAGCTTCCGGTTTAAGGAAGCCGGGCAGCGAGTCATTATATGCTGCCTGGCTTCCACTTGGTGACGAGGGAGCACGGAGCCGGTTTCCCGGGTCCATCAGTAAGCCGGGCAGCGTGTAATGACTCGCCGCCTAGCTTCCTGATTGGTTGGGAATATGGCAAATCAGGAAGCCGGACGGCGAGTCATTACCCGCCCCTTGGCTTTCTGATTGACCAGAAAGCCGGCTTCATTCTCCCTCATCACCAGGTGACACCAGCTTTTCGACCAATCAGGAAACGAAGTTGTTACACAGCGCCGGTCTTCCTGTTTGGCTAGAAAGCCGGCTCCATGCTTCCTCGTCACCTGGTGACGAGACGGGCCTATAGGTTCCACTAGGGGTCTAACAGACCCCTAAAATCTCTATAAAGAGGACCTGTCACTGTATTGGTGTTATCACTTGTCAGCCCCCTTTGTGATAGCAATAAAGTTAAGTGTAGAAATAAAAAAAAAAAAAAACAGTTACACATACAAACGCAAACATACGTCGAGTATGTCCATGTACGAAACAACAACTGTGCCACACATGTTACATATCACCGTGAATGTTGGAGTGCGAACAATAATTCTAGGGCCATCAATCACTGTTAACACTAAACTAATGAGTGGTAAAAGCTTTTGAAGTGTTGCCTATGCGCAATTCTGATTATGATAGGTTTTTGCGATTTCACGGGTGCACACAGTATTAAGGCGTGACATGTTTGGTATCTATTTATCCGACTTGACCCAAGCGGGCATAGCTGGCTCTGCCTTTAGGGCCTGCTCACATGAGTTTCAGGTGCAGATCTGCAGACGCGGTGCTATGTGTTTTTGATGCGTTTTTGATGCGTTCCAGTTAAAAAAAAATATATATATATATATATTTTTTTTGCTGGAGTGGGGCTGTCAGTATGTTAGCTGCAGTGCAGTGCGTTTTGGGGCATGTTCACACGACGTCCATTTTCTGTGCTGACCTGATCCATATGCTCCTGCACTAAAAATGCATCCCAATGTATCCCTATGTGTGTTATGGGCTCCAGTTCTCACGTGCGCAGTCCGTTCAGGTTACGATAGAAAAATACTGCATGTCACATTTTGTACGGTCAGGAAACGGTCTGGAAACGCAAAACGCGTCAAAAACGCACTGCAGCTAACATACTGACAGCCCCACTCCAGCAAAAAAAAAAAATACAATTTTTTGTTGTTAACTGGAACGCATAAAAAACACGGCAAAACACATAGCACTGCGTCTGCAGATCCGCACCTGATCAGGACCTGAAACTCATGTGAACAGGCCCTTAGAGAGGCAGACCCAGCTGTCAATCAGCCAGTGGGGTGGATCTCAACACCATATGTCCTCCCATAACTCAAAGGAAAACTGTGGGTAAACAAGGTTGCCCCAAAGTTCTCCTTTAAACATAGATGCATTTTATGTTAGGAAGAGGAAGCTCAGAGTGTCTTTCTATGGGGGCAGCCAGAGTTTCCTGTCTCTTTCTAACTCTATAGAGAAGTTTGCAGTCTGTCCAAAGGCCAGCTGAACAGAGACAACTAAAAGGTACAAAATATTTGTTTTCAATTATTTTTAGGTGTGCTGTTTAAATGGGAACACACACAAACATAAATGCACTCCAAGCTTTCCATAGACATTAGATTGTCACAAAGCGATTGGGAATTAGAAAGGGATTCTGGATGAAAGCTATCCCCTCCACCTTATGCTAGTCATGGTAGTATACTATTCTTCAGTTTAACGATCACTTTGATGAAAGGAATGTGTCTGCCAGAGTATGCAAACCATCATTTTGATCTAATAACGATCATTTTAATATTGATCCCATTGGGAATCCAATTAAATTCAACCAAATTGATATTTTCTTTAGTTGAAAGCTGTGCTTGGGTGTATATGTGTAAATGATGGCAGCACACTCCTCTCCTCCTGCAGGTTCGCTCCTCCAGATTATGGATCTAAATGCCACAATGGACACATTGACTATTATACTCATATAATGGAAGTTATTATAGACTATAATGGAAGTGCATGGACACATTGGGGGGATTTTATCAAAACTAGAGCAGACAAAATCTGGAGAAAATGTGCATGGCAACCTATCAGCTTCTCTCTTTGGTTTTCAAATCGTAACCTAACAAACTGAAGAGAGAAGCTGATTGGCTTCCATGCACAGCTGCTCCAGTTTTGATAAATTCCTCCCATTGACCATTATAAATTCCTCCATTATTGACCACCTCTTAGGCCTTGTTCACACCAAGCGCGGATCAAAACTGCGTCCAATGTATTCCAATGGTATTTTTTGCTCCAGTTCACATTGCAGCGTGCAGTTCCAGAGCAGGTGAAAAAACTGCAGCAAGCCCTATTTTATCTGTTCTGGAACGCATTCAAACACATCAAAAATGCATGCAAATCCCTGAAACGCACTGAAAGCCCATGTTAAACTTAAAAAATATATATTATTTTTTTTACAAAAACGGCCCGGAACGCATCTGCGTGTGCAGAAACCTGAGCGGATCTGGTCTGCATTTGGTGTGAACAAGGCCTTAAGGTGCCCACACACCTTGCGATAATCGTACGATAATCGCGGGAAATCCTGCGATCGTACGATTATCCAAGATGGGCAGATCATATGTTTTTTTAATTACTTTACAACCATCGCAATACTAAGGTCTTGCGATGGTTGTAAAGTGTATGGCCACCTTAACAGATCTAATTGCCATTTTTTTCAGTCCATGTACATGAGGCCTAACTGTGTGACATTTAGTTTGCTAGAGCACTATGTATCATCAACAATTGCTATGTTTTTTTTCTCATAAAATACTATTTCCAACTATTTGCATGCTTTTTTTTTTTGCATCTAATTGCTGCCGTGCTGCTCTCCTCCAGCTATTGTCCAATAGTGGACAATGTATGCACATGGTGCATTGGCACAACCACTTTTATTCTTCAGCAGGGTTGCATGTGACATGGAGACAATGCAGGAGCACAACTGAGAAACAGTTGTCACCCTACACCAGGAAATGTCTGAATAAGTGCATTCATACTCGGATCACTAGGAAATATTTTAATAAGTGACAAATAGCACCTCGCGCCAAACCCTGTGTAGCTGCAAGCACTATAAGAAGTGTTACCCTCTGAATACATCAAATTATAATGAATGTGCTGCGCTTCATCTAGAACAGGGGTCGGCAACACCCGGCACGCGTGCCCGGCTTGGCACGCGAGGCCACATCGGCTGCACGCAAACTAATTTTTTTGTTTGCATTTGAGAGCTTGCTCGAGCCGGCTGTCAGATTGAAGTCCCACCCACCTCCCTGACGTGACCAGTTGACGTTCGTGCACGGAGCCGCACTGAGGAGGCCCACGACGGTCTGCTCGAGGTCCTGCCTGGCGGATTCTTTACACACAAAATGTGGAATCGCACGTATATAGTGCTCAGGATTTGTCCCAAGTGCACCACACTCTTTATCCTTCCACTGTGAAAGTTCTTTGTACAAAGTCCATACGTCAACTCCAATTATCACCCAGGTGCTCCCCCTCTCAGTGGGCCGCTCACCTTATAAATAGACCTGAACAGGTCTAGAATCGCGGTCTCCAATCGATCTTATGCATAGGCCATCTCTCCACAATCGTTGCACAGAAAGAATAGTTTTTAAAATAAAGTAGGTTTTTTAATTTTGCGGTTTTACGCTATAAGCTGTTTTTATACTTTATTGGATATGGTCGTGATGACACGCTGACGTAATTTTCTGTGCAACGATTGTGGAGAGATGGCCGTTGAAAAAGATCGATTGGAGACCGCGATTCTAGACCTGTTCAGGTCTATTTATAAAGGTGCCCACACGCCTTACAATTATCTGCAGATTTTCTGTGGTCAGATGGAAAAAGTGCAACAGATTGGCCCAGGTGGAGATTCCTCCATCCACAAAGCTAAGTGTAGATGGAGGAATCTGTTGCACCTTTTCCATCTGACCACAGAAAATCTGCAGTTAAATTGTAAGGTGTGTGGGCAGCTTTAGGTGAGCGGCCCACTGAGAGGGGGAGCACCTGGGTGATAATTGGAGTTGACGTATGGACTTTGTACAAAGAGCTTTCACAGTGGAAGGATAAAGGTGCCCATACACTGCACGATTATCGTACGATAATCGTATGCGATCGGTTTTTCGTACGATAATCGAGCAGTGTGAACGGAGACGTGCGACCGTTTCTACTGTACGGTCGCACGTCTTCTGTCGAACCAGCATGTTCGAAAACCAGCCGGGAATCGTACGATTCTCGGCTGGTTAGAACGGTGCTCGGAAGACAAATGCCGAACGGGCCGGTGTGCGCACGCGCACACTGCCCGTTCAGCATTGCGGTCATCGGAAGCCCGCCCCTCAGGGGGGCGGGCTTGCGATGATCGAGAGTGCGATCTGCCTGTCCAAGATAGGCAGATCGTACATTTTTTAAATCCCTGTACAACCATCGCAAGACTAAAGTCTTGCGATGGTTGTAGAGTGTATGGCCACCTTAAAGAGTGTGGTGCACTTGGGACAAATCTTGAGCACTATATACGTGTGATTCCACATTTGTGTATATTTGAACATGGAATATATGATTGAACTTTCCAGAGGACTATTATTTATAAGAAGATTCATTGTGAACACTTTTTTGATTTCATGTATTATTTAAGCACATATTTATTATAGAGATTTGTTTATGTATTGTTCTAGATTAAGCGCAGCACATTCATTATAATAGGAAATATTTTAATGAAAGTTGCAGTTTTAAAAGTATTGAAAACAATTCTTGAAATGTGATCACAATGATACAATTTATATGGGATTTTAGGCAGCGGCGTTATTTCTTCTTTAACTCCTTCAGTACTGGCATGTTACACCCCTTCATTACCAGGCCATTTTTCAGTTTTCAGCGCTGTGCAGGTTGGGCTAAGAATTCCTCCGCCATGTAACACTGTAACAAAATACATTTTGTATCAATTTTTGGGGACAATTAGAGCTTTCTTTTGGTGGTATTTAAAAACCGCTTTAAAAAAAAAATTGTTTACTATATTAAGTAAAAAAGACCCAAAAATTTGAAAAAAAAAAGCCTGTTTCTCATACTTTCCTTTTATAAATCATAGCAAATAAAACAACGTCAGGACAGTACAAAAACCACCAAAATGACCCCATTTTGAAAAGTAGATCTGATTTTGTGCTGCAATATTTCAATTTTTTTGGAAATGAAGAAACATGCCAGTATTGAGGGGGTTAAAACATAGAGCATGGTAATAGTGCACAAGATGCAATAAATGTACAGGTCATAGACAGAGGGAGGAGAGGGTGAATGGGTTAATGTACAGGTCAGAGCAGAGACAGAGTGCAGATTACATAAGTAGGAGAGGAGGGAGAAGTTAAAAGGGTAAAATGATTGAAACTTTTTGTTTGCTGCTGCTACTGCAGCTTGTTTTCACTATGAAGTAATGAAAGAATGACTCATCCATTCATTACTCCCTTTAGTCTCCCTTGCCTCTAATGTAAGAGGAAAGGGAGGGATTGGCAATTACATTGTAATATGCTCACTGTGATAATCAATTTACTTTGTCCCATTGCACTGCCAGACCGGATTCCCATGGTAATGTAATGGAACGTGCTGAATAGCATGCTGATGGTGCGGCACAAATCCAAATGTAAAAGAAGTAGTCACTCACACACCTAGGTCCAATACATCAATTCATCCTTTTATTGACATTAGATACACATGGCATCACAAGTGCAAAGCAACATTCGGAACCTAGCATGGCCCCTTCATCAGGCAAGAAACACTGTGATAACTAATCACAGGACACAGAGCCGGAACGATTGGCACTGGCATTTATTTTTTTTCCTTGAAGGTTGAAAGTCTCAATGCTATTTATGTTGGTCTTGGTTTTATTGAACCATGAAATAAAAACTATGGCAGCTGTAAAAAAAAAAAGTCAACTTTTCCGGTTCTTCAATATTGACATGTTGAAGTTCATACAATTTCCTGGTTGCACATTACACATACTACACTAGCACAGTCTTAGAGGTGTAACCTTTCAACCAAGTGGTTACCAGAGAGACTGTGAATGTAAAATGAAAGCAGCCAGACCTGCCCTTTGTCACAGCACTTCCTTCATTGTGATATGTGTATACAAAGCATACACTCCCTTATTCTCGGGGGAAGGACAGGCTGTAAGTTTCACTCTAGGTTATGAATGTGTTACTTATGAATCCATTATTTCTGTTACTGATCGAATATTAACCTGGCTGCAAGGTAAGAACATCTTATGAGGCTTTTACATATTGATAGCATTCTACATCCACGGTATAATTTCATTTGTATTCTATATTCCCATACTTCCCAACTTTCTGAGATGAGGAAGAGGGACACCTTCCAGCGCAATGGATTTAGGCAATGGATACACTCCTGCCACAGCCCTAGTTACAGGAACCATTAAGAATTTATAAACCAAAAATTATTAGTTAAACCCAAAATTGTTTTTTTCATCATTTCTTTTCTTTTATACTGGTTTTTGGAAATAGCAAACACGATAAGAGATAAGATGAAGGCGTTAGTGTATAATAACACTTTTGATAGTCAAATAGAACATTGTCATCAATATCTGTACATCAGGCCAAAAAAGGGACAACTGAGGAGGACAGAGGGATTTAGTTCCAAACGAGGGACAGGTGGGAGGTATGTACTCATAGTATTACTAAGGGAATTGAGTGTCATTGAAACTAATTACACTTTTTCCAGATTTTTTGTGTGTGCAAAAGGCAGAGTGTAGCCATAATTGAGTAAGTGACTGGAAATGTTTCTAACCTGCTGTTTTAGGCTGCTATAGGCTTTTTAGTTATCCAATGACAATTGCACATTTTATTGGCAGCCAATGTGATTTGTCTGGATTTGTTTTCTCATTTTGTCTCTCATAGTTGAGGTCTACCTATGATGCCAATTACAGGCCTCTCTCATCTTTTTAAGTGGGAGAACTTGCACAATTTTTGGCTGACTAAATACTTTCTTGCCCCACTGTATATGAGTGGTGGACTACGTCTCTTTTATATCTTCAGAACTTTGTGTACGTTACCATATCAGCAATGGGAACGCCAACAAATATGGCTTGCTCTTGCAGCAAGGTCTCAATGTTATTACGGATATTTAAAATAAAATTGCAAACCCTGCTGCATTCATGTGAAATAAATGTGGCAAAGGTACACAGGTACAGGTGAATCTTTTGATTGATTGATTTATTACAGGTATTTATATAGCACCGACACTTGTACGCATCGCTTTGCATTGTGCACATTTACAACCATTTAAATCTGAATTTTAAATGTAAATGGCAAGGAAATTAGCTAAACACTTTATTATGCCAAACAACTATCTGGTTCAGGGTATTTGTCATGACCTGAAAGCCTCAGAGGCATTGAGCATGCTGGGAGCCCCTAGGGCCTGTATACAAGCTCATGTTGCTAAAAGTTGTTCTTTACCTAGAGCCCAAATGTCACTTATTTGGCGGGACTGTCCCTCTTTTGAAACCAACCCCTTCTGTCCCCCTTTCCTCTTGAGTCGTCCCTCTTTGTGGTCTGATGTACAGACCTGTAAAAAAACTGTACAATATTAAATTTAAAAAAAGTGTCACAGTATGTTATATAGTTCATCAAATGTTTGCATTTGTTATTGTGGAAAGGTAGAGGTGAAAAAAGCTTTTGTGGATAGACCCAATTTTTTCTTGCATGACAATTCTTCCTCACCCTCATAATTGGGAATGTGGTAGGGGGATGTCCTATGGCAATATAGTTTAAATTGAAAGTTATACCTCTTTGTCATCTCAGAATGTGGGGAAGTATGTATTTATACTATAACATTTTATTACAAAATAATATTTTCTTCTTTTCTCTTCAGACTCCCTGTACTTTATGCAGCAAATTGGTCAGCAAAGCATAGAAAATGCATAGATATGTTGCAAACCTTTTTACTGTGAATACCTAATCTCCAACATGATCCAATATTTCTGCAAAGAGATATGCAAGATATTTAATCTAAGTATTGGAAACATTGGTTAAACCTGAACATCAGGAACCTGTAAAATGAGGACTGTGTTAAAGTATTCAATTTGGAAACATTCATGGAATTCCTAAAGAAATGGCATAGCCCAATCCTTTCTGTATGCTGGACCATGAGCTATACGAAATTGAACTTTTTCTTGACTATCCTGGGAGCAATCACCTTTTTATTCGACATCGGAATAGATTTATGGATTACATTCAAATACTTCCAGCAAGAACTCCCTGTATTTGGCCTGCTGACCATATTCTTTGTTCTCGCGTCCACCCTGATAATACAAGCCTTTAGTTACACGTGGTTTAAAGATGATTGTCATGAAGACAGTTTGGGTAAACTGAAAGGAATCCTTGTCCTTCACATCTTTCTACTTGGAATATTTGTAAGGTAAGCTAGTTAGCCTTCTTATCTGTTGTAGAATATTTGGGTCCATCTTCTGCACTCCGTTGGCCAGCTGTTATTAACTTACACAAAAAAAACTGTCTTAGTTGCATCAAAAAGACGTATAGTAGTGTATTTATAAACAACTTAGGCCCCGTTCACATTGAGCGATTTATCGCGCGGTAATTCCCGCGATATCGCTCTCCAATGCTTCTCAATGGGGGCAAAGGGTCCTGCTGTCGCGGGTCGTGTGTCGCTACAGCAGGACCCTTTTTGGAGCGGATTTAGCCGTGATTCAAGCTTGCTCAATGCAAGCATTTGCGCGATATCGCGCAAAATGCAAATCGTGCGACAAACGCGCGATTTGCGAACCGCTCAATGTGAACGGGGCCTTATGGTGTATGTTTCATAGTTACATAGTATTTGGGGTTGAATAAAGACATACGTCCATCAAGTCCAACCCATATAGGTCCACGCATCATCTCATTCTTAGGGATACTGATATCCCTGGATATTACGGTCCCTCAAGAAATTGTCCAAATGTTTCTTGAACAATTCTACACTCTTGGCTGAAATCACTGCCGATGGCAGTGAGTTCCAGACCTTAACCGCTCTTACTGTAAAGAACCCTCTTCGCCCATTGTGCTGGAATTTTTTCTCCACCAACTTTAGGTGGTGGCCTCTAGTCTTGGATGGAGTTAATCTCAAACAGTTTGTTGCCAATGTTGCTGTCACCATTGAACATCTTGTACATGAAAATCATATCCCCCTTAATCTCCTTAATTCCAGCGTAAACATGTTTAAGGTCAGAAGCCTTGTCTCATAGCTTTGGTCCTCCATTCCCCTAATTAGTTTTGTTGCCCTCTCCAGTTCAAGGACATCCCTTCTCAGTACCGGCGACCAAAACTGGACCGCGTACTCCAGATGTGGCCGAAACAACGATCTATATAGAGGCACAATTATAGACTTGGCACTGCAAGCTACCATTCAGTTTGTGGTCTACAATGACCCCCAAATCTTTTTCTATTTCTGACTTCCCTAGCGGCATACCCATGATTGTATAGCCTATTTGTTTATTTTTATGTCCAAAGTGCATTACTTTGCATTTATCGACATTAAACCTCATCTACCATAGTATTGCCCACTCCCCTATTTTATCCAGGACCTCCTGCAATGTTATATTGTCACGATCCATTTCTAGTACCCTCACTATTTTTGTATCGTCTGCAAACACGGAAACATGGCTATTTATTCCCTCCCCGATGTACATTTATTCTGTAAAAATAGAGGTCAAAACAAATGTTATTAGCCAATTTTCTTTTCAGATTAAAAGTAATTTCAGGTAAATATCCCATCATGGCCACTAGATATAGCTGATGAGTGTAGGAAAATAGCAGTTCTATGCTCCTCAATTCCATCTAGTGGTCATAATGTGGTATTTACCTAAAATTACATTTGACCTGGAAATGAAATAAGCTAATAACTAGGAATGCACCGATACTGGTATCAGTGCCAATACTGAGCATTTGGTCGAGTACTCGTGCTCACCCACATGATCCAATACTTACCCTGATACTGCAACTTCCGGTCAGAGGGATATTCCCTCTGACCTGTGTTCTTTCGAAAGAAGCTAAGCTAGTGTGCCTGCACCAGCCATCTCAGTGTAAGAATCCCTGTGGAAATCTCGAACTCCCGTCACTGCACCTGCGTGGCCTTGTAAGAGCAGAAAGTATCCTCAGTTCAGAATGGGTGGCAGACATTTTGTTGTAGACCAGAAGAAGAGGGAGTTCTAGCTCAGGAATCTTGCTGGAGAGGCTGTGAGAGGCTGCAGAGTGTGTGCTCAGCGAGGAGGAGGTAATATTGTATTTCTTTTTAATGGAAGAAGGGGGTCTCAGCACTGTCTGTGGACAAGATTTGGAGGGGGTCATGTGATCTCATGAATCACTCTTTAGCTATATGTAAGTGCTGTATATTGGCTACTGCTATCTGCTCTTTCCTTCTGTCTCAGGAGTGCAGTGCTATGAGAGAGCATGGAGCCAGCTTCATGGCCAATCAGGAAGCCAGGCAGCGGGTCACGACCTGCCTCCCGGATTCCTGATTGGCTAGGAAGGTCAATAGCGAGTAACAGAGTTCAGAGGTCAAGGGTAAGTAATGCAGAGGATAGGGGTTAGTAGTAAGTAACACGGTATTAAGTAACGCAGAGTTTAGTAGTAAGTAACGCAGAGGTCAATGTAAGTAATGCAAACTGCAGGGGTCAGTAGTTAGTAACACAAAGTTCAGAGGTCAGTAGTAAGTAACGCAAAGTTCAGCAGTAAATAACCCTGTGTGCTGGGGTTGGTAGTAAGGCAGAGCTTAGGGGTCAGTAGTGAGCAACTCGGAGTGCAGGGGTTAGTAGTTAGTTACACAGAGTGCAGGGGTCAGTAGTAAGTAACAGAGTGCCAGGGTTAGTACCACAGAACAAATTCTCCCCTACTCCCAGAGCAGTAGCATTAACATATAATGTTGAAACTGCATCTAGTTCACTTCCTTATCAACACAATAACAACATCAGCCAGGAAGGAACCAAAACATTAGAAGTAAGAGCAATTTGAAAAAGCTAAAGGCACTGATATTATTAACTCTTTATACCCTTATACTTACACTTCTCAATTTCTAAGAAAAAGTGCTGTTTTCTTTAACAAAGACTCGTTTAGAAGTTTTAGAATATCAGAGCAACATGCCAATACTCATGATTACTAGACAAGCGCTGGTGGAAATATAACTATGCTGTATATTTCAGTGTGTGTATGTATGTATGTATGTATGTATGTATGTATGTATGTATATATATATATATATTCCGTACTGTCAATGTATATATAACACCCGCATCTGTAACCTATATTGTTACTATCTTGATGTGAAATACATTACCTGTATAGCGTATTGTAGAAGCAGTAACGCAGTAACAGGACACCAGAGTAAAGCCACATGATCATATACTGATATTCCCCAATATGTTCCAGGATCTTCACTACACCAACCTCATAGTACAGAGATGCGGTAATGTACTAATCAGGAGCCACACAGCAATCATAAGATTGAACTGCTTGCCTCTGCAGGGAGGGCCTTAGCTGGCAAAAACAGAACATGCCTACAAAAACAGAAGTAACATATCAAATGGCTGCCAGATATACAGTAAGCTGTGTGGTGAGTTGCCTGGCCAGTTACAGTATACCAGAGTGAAGGATAGTTACATCATTACCCCTCAGCAAGCCTCTTTCTGTGATCCTGGGGCACATCCCAGGATACAGCTGATGTGTGACAACTCACTTAAAAACGGGCCTGCCCAGGCAAATCTGGGACTAATGGTAAATATGGTATCCACATACTAAAATAGTGTGCCATACAGTATATCAATATAATTATTTGTATTTATTTTCAACTTTCTAGATGCTTGTTTGTTTTGAAATATGGATTCCAAGTCAATTATGACCCCAAGAAAAAGAATTGTGATGAGACCAAGAAGAGAGCAGTGGAAGCTATGACAGACCTGAGTATGTTGAAGTGCTTTAAAACATACCTGGAGAGCACACCACAGCTTATTCTACAGATCTACATCTTGATGGAGCATGGGCAGATCACTGTATTTCAATGTATGTAAAAATAGACATTTTGAAACACACACAAAAAACAAAACAAATGAATAAGGTAAATTACAGTGTGTGAAGTGCCGCAGCTCATAGCTATCAAGTCATCAGTCATCTTTAGTTCTTTGGATTGAGCCTAACGGATACAATGCAAACTATAGTTGGTTACATAGTTACATAGTTACATAGTATTTGAGGTTGAATAAAGACATTAGTCCATCAAGTCCAACCTATTAGGATCTCATTCTAGGAGAGGAGTTCCTGGGAGTTGCTGGGAGTTACTATACTTTGCACACCAGCATTGTTCTGTGCATAGACTTTTGTCTTCAGAACTGTAGGTCCCCACTGTCCCTCATTTGGAAGGACTGTGCCTTTTTTTTGGAAAAGTTACTCCTCAGTTGTTCCTCTTTTTTTGGTGCACTGTATCAAATTCTATAAAAACATGTATCATTAAACCAGGGCCGTCTTTAGCGCAGGGCAAAAGGGGCAGCTTCCCAGGGCCCAGTCATTGTTGTGGGGCCCAAAGCAGCTGACCCTTGAGCAGGTCCTGTGCTGCAAAACTCCTACCACTGGCCCTGCATCTCAGCACTGACAGCAGAGTGCTGGATGATCTCAGGGCAGAGCGGGTGACACGGAGAGAAGAGCTGGGTGGATGCCCTCCATGCTGTGTGTATGTGTGTGCTGGAGGAGGCGGCTCTGCTATAACCTGGAGGGGGTGAAAAATGCACCTTCACCTGTGTACACAAAAATCCTTGCACCAGCCCTGCCCTTGAACCCACAAAAGATACACCCGCGCCACTCTTCTGTTTACTGTGAGATCGGTATTGCATAGTGCTGCTCCGGCCTTGCCGTATAGGCATATGCATGGGCAAAATTGCATGGCGGGGGCGGGTAGGGGGTGTTTTTTTAGGGAGTCGGGATGGGTAGGAGTGGGGGGTCCAGGAAAATGTTTGCCCAGGGTCCAATCATTATTAAAGATGGCCCTGCATTAAACTATTAAAAGTGTTATACTACACCAAGCCTTTTGTCCAACCTCTAGATGATCGCATTTGTTATTTTTCAAAAGACAATATAGTGTTTAAAAAAGCACTTGTGGGTTTAATATTAATTCTTTGTGCTCCATGTAGCTGGGGTTGTGCTAGGAGTATGACCTTTGCCTACATTCTTTGTGTTTTTATGTGTCCCTCCATCTGAGAATGTTGAGAATTTGCTTGTGTTTCTTCTTATTGTAGTTAGAGATGATCCTGGGCTTGCTGTGAATCAGTTACACCTATTTGTGACTTATAGCTGTGGAAAATGCGCCCCTCCAGAACTGATTGGACCAGGAGGAGAAGTCACAGTTTTGAGCAGGCTTGAGCGATATTCAGTAAACTGGGTTCACACCAAGCCCAGGCTCATCCTTAATTGTACTCATTGGTGTCCTGTGTGAATTGTGGGATATTCATGTTTTCATTTCAAATGCATTTTATGTTTAAGACCATGGCAGTAACGTGAAAGGCAGTTGTTTGTGACCTTTTTTTAATCAGTACTAGATAGGAAATTTGTTCTATAACTTTCTATACTTTGAACCCAAGCAAAGACATATGAGAAATAAGTTCTTTGAGGAAGCACGCATTTGTTATTACACACTGTTGATTTGTATAACAGGTCTTTCTACTATTAGGACCTTCGACTGTAAGCAATTGTTTTTCTTTTCACTACGTAGTCCATAATTTTTTTAAATCTATCTAGTGTCAAGTTTTGTTCTTGAAATAATATTCAATGTCACACATCTGATAATGGGGCCCTGTATACAGCTAATAGATTAAAATGAGCTAAAGGGAAATTAAAAAAAATAGATGATGCCATTGACTTGGGGTTCAGAGAAAATGCGTCTGTTGGTTAGGCATAAAAGTTTATCAAATCATCGCTACTGTAGATATGGTATATTAAATTGTATGTAAACCTAAAAGCAAAAATTTAATATATTGCAGCTTATCAATCCCTAGATATGGTGTCTGCATTACTTTCCTTATTTTGGGCTTTTTTCCTTTATGTTCACCTGGTGATTCGGCCAGTAAGTCTGTTATTTTTCAACTTCCTTTAACAGGCCAAGCTGTCCAGCCAAAGTGGCAGATAGAAAATTGAGACAAACCATTTAACACTGATAGGGGTTCTTACAATGGTCAGCTTTTATTAATTTATGCAAAACCTTTATCCCAATAGGGAAAAAAACCGGCTGTAACTGCCTAAAAAGTGTTAGCTGAAGTTCAGATTTATTTTATAGTCAATTCCATCTAGATCTGATGGACCATCTAACACTACCCTCTACAGGTTGACAATGTTGCTGTCCAACGGTGGCTCCATTGCTCCTCCTTAGAGTGGAGTCACCCTAAGACAGGAAGTGTGTTACGGGCCGAACCACTATAAAACTAAAGCAGCCATCACAATTAAGGATTGGTAAGCTGCAATGTATTACATTTTTGTTTTTGGGTTTAGTTACACTTTAATTACATTTTACATACTTTTATCAGCACTCAGTTACAGGGAAGATTGTAAGGGTGTAAACCTATGTTTTTATGTAAACTCTAACAATGATTCATTTTGGTCTGGGATTTATCTCATTGGGAATATTTTGTTAAATCTGTTTGATAAGTGCAAGAAAACCCCCAACTGTTGATCTTATCAGATATTCAGATCTGCCGACTCCTCTGCACACTTCCTGTGTTATCTCAATTAGTCTGTTTAGCCCTCCCAGTTCTTACCTTGGACTACAGAATGGTTAGCCTTTATGTTACAGAGATATGAGCATGGGAGTAATTGAGTGGTTTAAAAACAGTGAGCAGGACTAATACCACTCAGTCCACAAAAATGCTGTATTTTGTTAGCCCACAAAAGGGAATTAAGAGCTGAATGTATTTCTGGCATACCAACAGGTATCTTTCTGTAATTGCAGGGCCTTTAAAGGCATAAAACACAGGGAATGTACATACAGAGATGTACTGCATATGTTTTTGCTTCTTTTATTTTGTCTTGATAAATGCTTTAAGTGAGTAGGAGAGTTGGTGGACAAATCCTAACTAATGATCTCTCTTTGATTTCAGATGCATCTATCTTGGTATCTGTCACCAGTATTTCATGGTCCACTGTTGATTATCAAATGTCCCTGCGGAAATCTTTGCCAGGAACAAAGGGTATCAGTGTGGGAGCCCCTATGCTTTCTTATGTATTCTACAAATTGTTTACCTTGACCTCCTGGATTGTCAGCATTGTCTTTCTCCTAAGCTGCAGTGTTCACCTCTTTACCGTTCTGCTGGTTGTACTCAGCCTTGCTGGCTTTTTCTGGGCCTGGAAGGTGAAAACGGATTTCTGCAGAACTCAAAGGATGGAATTTTTGTACAGGGCTGTAGTTGGAATTATTTTGGTTTTTACCTTCTTCAATATAAAAGGACAAAGGACTCTGGTTCCCATTTCTATTTATTATGTTGTTCGGACTCTAGCCACGAGTGGAATTCTTGTCTTCTGCTTCTACCTCCGGCCCGTATTTGTGAACACTTTGGTATTTGTGATACTTAGCATTGCTGTAGTTGGTGCCTTGGGGGTGGGTATTTTTTCATTGATTCTGTACTATGCATGTTTCCATCCTAGCCTCCGACCTTTGCATCAGAGCAAGGGGGATACAGTAGATGGTCCTACCAGCACATTCAGGAGCGAAAGAGCCGAAAAATTCATAATGTCTTGAAAAATGTGTGGCATTGTATAGTTTTTGTAATAAACATGTGGCATGTGCACGTCTCAGGTTTTGCCATCAATAAAGTTATATTTTTCTGTTACTGTTGATAAGGAAAATTCTGGTACCTTTTTTATAGATTTTCTTTTGAGTTATACTTCATTTAACATGTAACATAAGGCAGTTAGAGAGCAATTCCACCCCAAATGAATCTCTCACTTTTCTGTGGACAGAGTAGATTAGGTCTTTGCTCCATTCTAGGATTCCCTGACTCTACAGTGAGCTCAGCATTTCAATTTTGTTTTATTAGCCTGTAAGTCCTCCCTATTTTCCACTAGGGCAAACATAATGCAGTGTTTTTTGCTATTGATACCATTTGACCCTGTTTTGAGGGGTCCTACCCTGGGAACTAAGTGCCCTGGGGTTGTCGAGTTGTCTCAGGCTGCCCTTCTACACTGCAACTGCAAGCACAGACCTCAGACGCAGTAGTTGTACAATGGCGAGAAATGCTTCCCTATAATCTGGCTCCGATATGCAGTGTCACATGAGGCTCGGACCTGTATTAGGGAGGAAGAGATCTGTACTGGGGGAGGTATGTACCAGGGTGGAGGGTCTGTGGGTCTGTGTTTGGGGGCATCTGGGGAGAAAGGTCTGTACTGAGGTACTGAGGAGTATTTGGGGGTGTACTCTGTCCTCGGGGGGGATGTGTATGGGGTGGTGATTGGTACTGAATGGAGGGGGTAATCTTTAGTTCTACCTTGTATTCTGTCCTATATGTTACTTATTCCTGACCCTTACATGCTGCGCTATGCACTCCTGACCCCTGCACTCCATGTTTTATGTGCGCCCCATGTGCTATCTACTCCTGAGCCTCTTCAATCTGTGTGTTATGTATTACTGACCCCTGTACTCTGCATCATGCACTCTGTGGTTTATGTTATGCACTCCCGATCCTTTTGCTCTGTGCCTTATGCACTGCTGACCCCTACAGTCATTGTTACATACTCTTGACCCTTACAGTCTGTGCTTTACACACTCTTGACCCATAGCAGATTAGGCTTAGGTGTTAACTATACCCTTTAAACCTCTCCCATTGTCATCACAATTTGGCCACACCCACAATTTCTGTACCCATACTGAAGGCGACATTTTGTCTTAATACCTTGAATGTCTATCTGTTGTTCCAAAAGTATTCGGCCAGTTCCTTTTAGAGCGTTTTAAAAAATGAGGGTGTAATTTTGTGTACTAGTTCCTTCTTGGCTCTCTTATGCAGTGTCACATGAGGGAAGGACCAGGGCATGGTCAGTAGTGTGTCCCCAGATTTTATTTTGAAAACATGGTAACCTTAGTTTTTATAGATTGTGCATAAGAACATAAAAGAACTAATTGAGACATTTACTCAGTTTATAAACCAAGATCAACATATCACAGCACTGTTGGGGTGGGGTTATCTTACTACTGGGCCCCCAACACCAGTGAAAGCCCAGCAGAGAATTGAATTCCCAAATTCATAATACAACATTCTGCTTTAGTTGAACTGTCACAGTTAAAATGAAGTCTTGACATGCACACATGGAACACAGCATTAGTTCATTGCTTCAGCTTCTCATTCAATCATTGCTGTAGTAGTCATCCTATTCCATTTTTGTTGTCCATTTGTTGTCCATATCTTCTGGAGATATTTTACCTTAGACACTAACTGTAGACTTCTTGCTGATACAAAAATATAGATATCGAGGTACCAGTTGTCCCGATCAGAATAAAATTGTGAAGGCTATTGGAGATACACCCAACATCAAGCATTATTTGAGATACATTAAACAGTCAACGAAAATTTCATAGCACAGGTTTCAGGAGGGAGACATACCCACTCGCAATGCAGGGGCTGACTGGCAACTTTTAGCCCAGGGGGCAACTGGCTAGTATGGATTGTAAACAATTAAATAATGACAGGAACATGAAGATTACTTCTTCTGTAAATGCTAGTTGCCTGGCTGCCTCTGGCATCAAATGTTTCTGAGACACTGAACGTCTGTTCTGCATGTTCGTGGTTGGTCAATGGCTCATTGGATTACCATGAGGACCCGTTCACCCCAGATGCAGTGCGTTCTGGCCGGATTCTGCCCAGAACGCACTGCCTCGTATTGCAGCCGGCTCACTTTTTTGTGGGGCAGGAGGGGGCGTGGCGGGCCATTGAAGTGTATGGCACCGTAGCCACGCCTTCCGGCCGCAATGCCATCGGCCGCACGGGATCGCAAGGCACATTATGCTTGCGGTCCGGTGCGATCAAAATGCTGCAAGCTGTTGCTTGTAAATAGATTTGGTTGGTAACTAACAGAGTTTCGGTCAAGTGAAACCTGTTACATACAGAAAGATTACTATGGAGTATATTTATAAAAAATTTGCAGAGCTTGTGAAACAGGGTGTACATTTCTTGTAAATGGAACTGAGGGCATTGTAAAGAAATATTTATCTCCTCTGATCCTCAGCTTCATCTAGTAGCAATAATGTGGTATTTTCCTATTATTACATTCGACCAGGAAAGAAAATATACTAATATTTTTTTGCCTCCATTCACGCAAAGTGAATGCACATGCAATTTCGCAGGGCAAATGGCTCTCCAAATTGTTTATAAATACAACCCTAAAAATTGTACCTCTAGGCAAAACTTTTTTTTTTTTTTCGTTTTGGTTAGAGATGGGAAGCTTAGTTCTTCCGTGATATTCTGCAGAGTCACCCCTCTTTTTTGTACTGGTGACTATTGTCACCGAAACAGAAAGTGAGGCGAAATCCACATTTTTAGAGTTGTCCCCAGAACATGATGTAAGGGGAAATCTTCTAATGGGAAGACCTGTTCCAGGGACAACTGTCTGAGATAGGAATTTTGCTCACTTTGTGCACACAGGACAGGAAGTGAAGGATTACCTCCCAAATGGTACACAGACAGCAAAAAAAACCCAAGGGGTTTTAATCATTCCCCACTCTATGTAAAACTAAAAAAAAACATACTTACATATACTTTAACATCTGTAACAGATGTTTATCACTGTCTTGTTCCCTGTTTGTATATTTTCCCTAACTTCCTGTGATGTCTACGGCACAGGAAGTGATAGGTTCCACAGTACCACTCCAGAATATCTCTTTTTTCTTTCCCTTGTTTGCCATACGGGATCAAATTTGCCGCTTTTGAACGATGGTCATTTCAGTTAGCCATTTTGGATTAGCAGTTTTCCAGTTTTAGTACGGCACTTTAGGATAAAGTACTTCAGCATGAAAAGTATTATGTTTTAGCTCTCTAATTTACTATTCACCAGTTACAAAATATGAAGTAAAATAAATGGAAAGTCACTTTAACGTGTATATCCACAATCACAGCCAAATTGGGATAACACCTTTTTTATATTTGTTACATGTTCCCATTCACATAGCGTAAGCTAAAAAAAATTGATTAAAAGAATGCTTCTTGCAGTTTAAATTGTTTTACTTGGGTTAGGGTTTTAAGGGTTAAAATTACTTTGTGCTTCTATTTCTTTTAAATGTTCGGAGGGTCTTTGATGGGTGAGGGGTCTCGTCCATTCAAATGTGGCTAGTGCATTGTATGTTAATGAAGCTTATCAGATAAACACAATCCTTAAATTTCAGTCCCAAACTGTCCATTGGGACAGACCACTGTGAAAGGGCTCCGAAAAACCTGGAATCAGCCATCTTGCCTCATTTAACAAAACATTTAAAAGGTAAGAATTTTTTTTTAAAGTTTTTTTTCAGTATGCTGTGTGAATAGAAACACATGCCGAACATATAAAGGGGTTTTCCTAAATTTGACTACAAAAGTGGAAATAACCTTTAAATCAATTGCCAAGTCTCAACACGGTGAATGTGTACATGCCGGCCATTCTTTACCTGCAGGTACTGCAGAGGAAACACTATGATAGACCAAACACAAATAAATAGCTGGCAGCTAAAGTTATTATAAGAAAATAAACAACCGGTCTGGGACAAACGGACGGAAAATGAACCCCTTTAGTAGCCAAACCAAAATCAACTTAATACAAGTGGAAACTTAAACCAAATGTTCCTGGAAGAACCTCAACATATTTTTCATTGAGTGTTTCCTCTACACAAAACTAATACACAACATCTTGGTATTTTTAGCTACTGTTTTTACAGGAAAATCGAAATACTCTAATTGTGACGGCTGGAAACCAGCAGCAAATTATGAACAGGTTAACAGTTACACTGTATAGTGAAAGTGACATTAAAGAATAATTTTTTTCCCTCTCCCAATGTTAATGTCAGCATTTACCTTAAATGAGGTTTCTTAATCCGATCTTCCTCTTCTTTCCTGATGTTTCCATCTGTCCCTCCAGCGGTGCGGCGGCTCTCCCATCCAGCGCTGACTCCTCTCTGCTTGCAGGCACTTCTGATCCCACGGTTTCTGCATGCGGGTGCACGCGTCCATAGACTTACCTTGCGCCTCTGCTCGTCTACCGACCGTGAATCCGAACTGCGCATGCGCCTGCCCCAAGATGCTTTGTGGCCGCCCGAACAGTTTCGGATTTTTGGGCGGGAGCGCGCAGCGAAAACAAGGTATGTTTAAACCGCTGTTAAAGCGGGTTTTTAAAAGAAAACAGAAAACGTTTTGCCTATATACTGCTTGCTAGCAGTAGATATAGGCAAACAAAAACAGAGGGTTTAGAACCCCTATAATGGCCCTCAGATGTAAAGAACGGAGGAAGGGCATTTGTATTCTCTGCAGTAGCAAGTAGCAAGTAATCAGAAAAAGAAAAACTATAAGGTTGTCACTAAGATGGCTTTTGACTGCACTCTTCATCTTAGGCACAGTCATTTACACATCAAATCTTAGGACTTGAGTGGGGCCACACATCCTTTGCATGTCATAGCTCACCATGTGTGAAAAATAAAAAAAAAACAAAACCTGTGTTCCTATGAAAAATTTGAATAATAGAATATTACATAATTACTATTTACTGTACAGCTAGCATGTAGCATGT